TTACCCGTGCGTAAAAAACCCCACTTCCTTCAAGAATAATGATACTTAATGTCATTGATATTTGCAGATCTCTCTGAGATCCTCAGATGAAAGGTTGTGTGCAAAAACAAAGTGCAAACTTCTTCCCTTTCACAATGGTTCATGCACCCCACTCGCCTCATGAAAAGCTTAGCTTAATAATGATTAAATAACAAATCGGAAAAGAAACATTTTCCTTTCCTTCCCTGCCTCTGCATCTCTACAGCCATGTTAGTGTTTGTCTCGAGCATTACTATGGCCCTTTGGTTCATGGTTTCATAATAGCAAGCAAAAGCCACAGCTTATCACTCATAACTGAGAATTGGCTTCTTCCATTGTCAATGCAGTTTTACAGTCCTCATCTACCTAATTCAGTTAGATAGTAATTAGTTTTGTATTACTTTACACAGTGATGCTAATACTGATTACAAGGACTGATAACTTGAGTAATAAATATAACCCAAGGCTGACAATTACCTGTCTTTTTTATTGGTGAAAGCTGAAGTTAGCGAAACGAGACACTAATTGGTTTATGAAATGAGGCATCTGCCTCCTGTTACAGGCTGCAGATTTGCAGCTTAATTCTACCAATGTGGCTTCACAATAGGGGATGAAGGAGCCTAGCAATCAGTGTGAATGTTTGAAAATCACCTCGACAGCTACAGCTAAACTAGCACAGCCTAAGGCCTGGCGTTAAAGTGAGTTAGAACTGAGCTGCATGGGTATCAATGTGCAGGGAGAGTCAGAGAAGTACTATTCTCCTTCCCTGCTGTCTGGCTCCAAAATCTAAGAGCCACATTTTCAACCGCAAAGCAACGGGTGTAATCCCAAAAATGCATGCCTGATTCTCCTCTCACTTTTGCACCAGCAGTGTAACTTCATTGACTCGAATGAAGTTATTCCTGTTTGACTCCAGTGTCAATGAACCAGAGAACCCCCAGCTTTGGACACCTGGAAAATTGTGCAAGGAGTGCAAACTGATAGGTAGACAGTGCATTTGCACTCACAATTATGGGGTTTTACAGATCCATTGGAAGTGCACACTTTTTTGCCAGGGCACCCAGGGATGAAAAGAGTATACTAATGAACCAGATATGCTATTTTGAAAATCAGTGGCAAAGTTCCCTTTAGACCCTTAAATGGGAGCCCTAAATATTTAATAACTTCTCTGCCCCAGGGAATGTATATTTCTTCAGTGGATTGAATTATTATTGGTTAAAATAAACATCAAAGTGTTCCTTACATCTCTATGTACCCTCAAAACTTCTGGAAAAAGCTATGGCAATTTCATAAGTACTTCAATGTGAAGTTAACAGCCCTGTTTTAAGAGAGACTAAATACATTACAAACCAGGATTGGGGATGGTGTGGGGGAGAGTCTGTAATCCTGATTGTGATCTGACACCTGTTTTCCATTCATCTAACTCCATTGGTTTAGATGGAGTTACTCCTGATTTACACCAGTGCAAGAATCAGGGGCTATATTTAAATCTGCATCTATAGCCACATATAATAAACCTTTTGAAGCAGATCCTCGGGTGGTATAAATTGCCATAGCTTTATTGAAGTCATCTGAGGATGTAACCCTTTATCTTTCTAGGGTTTCAACTGCCAAAGAAAGAAAACTCTTTCTGAACTCAGAAGAACTTTGGCTAAACTTGCATGCATGTAGATGGAAGAATTGGGGTTTTGCCTGCCAATGGCAACAGGTCCCAGTGACTGCCCTCCTGCCTAAACCCTAGAGGCACTGTTTAGTAGCTGCTGTAAAATCCAGTCCATTCAAATTCAACTGAAATATTCATCATTTCATGATTTGGATCACTGACCTGTAAAAATGCAAAATGCAGTTTAAGGACATAACCCTCGGACTCTAATATTCTGAATATTTCCATATGGAAATAACTCTGAAATTAAAAAGACAATAACATGCAAGTCTAAAGGGATAAAACTACAAGTGGGGAATCAAAGGGCAAGCTGAAGTTATAACAATGACAAGACTCTGTGACACAGAAGTTTGGCCAACTGCTGGTATTTTGACTTGGGTTCTGTAGTGAGGCAGCCTGGCTCCCGACGGCCCCTGAGAGGGCCCAGCTCCCGCTCCGGACTATTACAGTTCCTATTAACTTTTAGTCAGGACTTGATTCCAAGCATGTGCTACTTTTTTAGGATTTAATCCACAGCGTCCGTTTGCAATGTCCCGCATGCTCCAGGAGAGAATTCAGGGTTAGGGCTCAGCTAATCCTACTGTTCAGAAGCCAGCTGTGACTGGGATTACTTGAGAATTCAGCTCTAGTTTAGGGTGCTCAGATATGATTAGTTGGAAACAACTCTCTCCCTTCCCACCGGGAGATGGTTACCCTTCTGTACACAGAGCAGCAGCAGTTGTTCCCTGAAAGAAAAGCAATGTACTCACCACCTTACCATTGCAAAGTCTGCGCTAGCACCCCTTATGGGGAGTATTTTGGGGGCTGATGTGCATGCTTCATGTTATTAAAGGGAGGAACGTGGGGATGACAACCGCCTTTGCATTGTCACTGAAAGCGGCCTAATTAGAAATGAATCTTCCCTTAACCATGACCCCCCATTGGGCTCTCTGGAGGGGGCAGGGGAATGCGGATGAGAGTGTGACTCCAGTGCATGTGATAGAGATGTTAATTTGGCACCAAATTAAACGTGGGAGGCACGGAACTGGGCGGCGCCAGGGATGAAAGGCCTATTTGGGGATTGCATCTGGCAGCTGTGCTACAGAAATGAGATGCAAAAACTCCGAAACGGATCTGCAGAACCAAACAATTCCGCAGCTCCACTGGAGAGCTATCCGTTCCCATAGAACAGGAAGGCGGTTCGGAGAAAGGAGCCTAAATCAGTGTTGCCAGCTCCAGGTGCGCAAGACAGACAGTGAAAGAAAGCAAGGAGGGTACCTTGCTAAAATCTAGCCAAGGTTTATATGTTTTTATTTAAAACCAGTGGGCTAAACACTGCTCTGGGATAGCTCCACTGAAGTCAGCCAGGGATTATTTTGGCCCAAAGCTTGTCGCTGGAGTGGGCTGATTTAGTTTCCCCAGACTAAAGTTGGGACAAAAGTTCTTACACACCCGCAAAACAGAATCTGATACTCAGCCAACACCAGCAGCTGCCTCCAGCACAAGGAGATGCAATTGCTAAGGTGTCCTTGCAGGAAAATGCCAAGGCAGAGAAGGTGGGTGCTGAAAGAGAGAAAGAAGCCATTAAGCAGCTGGGGGAAAGAGTTTGATGCAGCCAAGAAATTCAAATTCCGCATGAAACAGATACTCTCATGCTCGCCTGGGGGCAACCAAGAAGGGGGAGAGGAGGAAAGGTACAAGCTTGCAGAGAAGATCGCTGGTGTTTGTCATGCCAAAGGAGGATGGCAGGTGCTTCATCAGGGAGCACTACTTGTTTGTTTCAGGGCAATTCTTGTCCGTTTCATCCTGCTTTGCCCAGTTTGGCGCATGCAGGTGTATGTGAGCGAGTATATACCTTGGGGTATTTACTCTCTCAATGCACACAACAGATTTTCATTGGTCAGTCACTTTAGCTATAATTCCTTCCCAGCCCTTCCACTTTACAGGCAACTTGGAATTGTTTTTAATAAGCCCCTCCCTTGGTCCTAACATTTTAAGACTTTGCTTTGGAGATTTCTTCCTATTAGCAGCAGCTCAGAAATATTCTGTAGGTGAAACATGCTTTATCCACTACATTTCAGTACCCAGGACAGTGACTTCAGAGGCTAGTGTATGTGTGTGTGTAATAATAAAAAAAACCCATAAAATATCTAGAATGAGAGTCCAGCTGTTAATTGGTTCCATACCTGAGAGCCTCTAAGGGAGGGTCCATTCCTATTTATTTATTGCTTACAGGCAACATTACAATTATCACCCCCCCACATCCCCCGCAGCGTATCCCCCTTGTGCTCAGTTTTGCTCCTTTTTTGCCTGATTAAGAAAAGCAAAACCACCTTTGTTTCTCAAAGAAGTGGAATGGACTTTTATTTCCACTCCCACAAACCCCCCCCCAACTCAACAATGAGTGGGCTTGGAAGTACAGAAAGGCAATCAAAGAAAGAAACAGCCCCCAAGCATGCCACAAATGGAAACACTGAGGGACATTTAAATGTCACCCTAAATCAGGAAAGCGACCGCCACACCAGTCGTTTATCTAGATAAAGGGGAGGGGGTGAGCGGGAATGAAACAGAAGTGATTGCAGGTGGAAATGACATATTTTACAAGGGAAAATAGAACTCACACAAGTAGACCGACCGACTGACCAACCCCTAGCTTACCAATAACAGAATGTGCATTTCAAGCTACTTATCCTATTGCATTTTTAAGGCTATCACATACCCCCCTAATTCCTGTCCATTTACCAGCTGAGAATTGCATGGAGATGGTAGCAACCTCATCTTTAATTGAGGACTTCTCAAAGAAGAAGAAGGAATTAAAAAAGCAGGATAACACTCAAGACCCCCAGTGATGAAATGTTGTGGTAGATGATGATGAATTCCCTTCCTCCCCTAGTGAAACAAAAGGCAGTCACATTACAGAGTCACCAGTTTCACTTTACCTGAATTTCAACTTTTAATTGGGGAGGGAGAGTTGAATTCAACCACCCTACCCCATTCCAGATCTGGCTGCAATAAAAATCTACAGCAGATCTGAAGGCACAAAGGCAACCTTTAAAAAAAAATTCCCCCTTTAAGTACGATCTCTCCCCCAGAGACACATACACCTTTATCCCTCCACCCTGGTTCTCTCTATGCCCTGCGCTCCTCCTCACTGCTTGCCTGCATCGCAGGAGAGGAATTTGATGAATGACCTCTACTGCATGTTCCAAAAAGAGGGAAGGGGGAGGGATGGGGGGGGGAGTGAAATTGACAGAAAGATGCAATTTCCTACTCTAGTTTCTTTTATGCTCTACAGCTTTAGTAGAAAATGGCGTTTGGAGCGAGCGAGAGAGAAACCTACTTGAGTTAGTTCTGTTCCCATCAGCAGAAGAAAGAAGAGACCCAGAAGCTTGCTTGTAGGTTGCATCTCTTGCACACAGTTCCAGGTACCTGGCATGCAGATTTCCCCCTCTCCTCCTGGGTTATTTTCTTTTGCTGCGTTGATCACCGACTCCCCTGGCTTGCTTTTGAGTCCTTAGGTTGTTTTTTTAAAATTATGATTCTCTCAGTACCCCGAGAAGGCAATGCAAGAAATCTGCTTAGCACAGCCTTCACTTGGCATATTTAGGGAGCGCCCCGTTTCTCCTCTTCGCTCTGATCTGGCTCTCTCTGGCTTTTGTTGTTTGTTTTATTATTATTATGATGATTATTTAATGGCTCCCCTGATCGAAAGCCATTGGCGAGGAGAAATTCAGCGGAGCACGAAAGGATTCTCTCTGCAATTGCCAAAAGTTTGCCTTGAAAAGGGGGGCTGATGGAGGGAGGACAGGGATTTAAAAAAAAAAAAGGAAAAGAATGGGAAGGCAGGGGCTACTAGCAGGGATGGATGTTTGAAACAGGATGTGACATCAACAAAGGCGGGGGAAATTTAACTAGACATGGAGAAGGGAATGGGGAGGGGGGGGGGAGAGGTAAAGCAGCAGGATCAAAAATGCAGCCAGATGCAAAAGGAGGAGGGGTCAGATTTGGGACTGGGGGGGAGGGGGGCTGAGGAAAGCCGACAAAAGGGACGGAGGCTGAATGTGGGAGGGTCCCTCTGCAGAAAATTTAAGGCAAGCCCTGGCCCAGTTGTAGCAGGCTTCGAAGTGAGAAACTCCGGTGCATGGAAGCAAGAGAAAGGGAGAGAGGCAAATTGGAGCCAGCTGCTGGATTTTAAAGGCAAAGAGGATTTTCCTTGGGAGGAGGGGGGGATTTAACAGCAGCACCCCTCTACACACCCCCCTCATTCTTTTCCCGTTCAGGAGACCCAGGATTGCAAGCATATGAGGGACCTGAATTCATTTAAACTTCAGCGTGGGTATATTGCCATACCCCATGCACTTTCCATTGGTGTCAGAGATTACAAACAAATAAAAAATTGATTGATTGATTTTGGAGAGGGTGGGAGTGGAGGAATGTCTCTGATCTAGGTCATGGCAATGCCAAAACCACCCAAAAAGGGAAACGATTAGGGCTGTCAAGCGGTTAAAAAAATTAATTGCAATTAATCACGTGATTAAAAAAATAATCTCATAATTAATCGCACTGTTAAATAATAATAGAATACCATTTATTTAAATAGTTTGGGATATTTTCTACATTTTCAAATATATTGATTTCCATTACAACACAGAATACAAAGTGTACAGTGCTCACTTTATATTATTATTTTTATTACAACTATTTGCATTGTAAAAAGCAAAAGAAATAGTATTTTTCAATTCACTTAATACAAGGACTGGAGTACAATCTCTTAATCATGAAAGTTGAATTTACAAATGTAGAATTATGTACAAAAAAATAAATGCATTCAAAAATAAAACAATGTAAAACGTTAGAGCCTACAAGTCCACTCAGTCCCATTTCTTGTTCAGCCAATCGCTCAAACAAGTTTGTGTACATTTCCAGGTGATAATGCTGCCCACTTCTTGTTTACAATGTCACCTGAAAGTGAGAAAAGGCATTTGCATGGCACTGTTGTAGCCGGCATCGCAAGAAATTTATGTGCCAGATGCACTAAAGATTCATGTTCCTTCATGCTTCAACCACCAGTCCAGAGGACATGCATCCATGCCAATGACGTGTTCTTCTCAATAATGATCCAAAGCGGCGCTGACTGATGCATGTTCATTTTCATCATCTGAGTCAGATGCCACTCACAGAAGTTTGATTTTCTTTTTCACTGGTTCGGGTTCTATAGTTTCCGCATCGGAGTGTTGCTCTTTTAACTCTTCTGAAAGCATGTTCCACACCTCGTCCCTCTCAGATTTTGGAAGGCACTTCAGATTCTTAAACCTTGGGTCGAGTGCTGTAGCTATCCTTAGAAATCTCACATTGGTACCTTCTTTGTGTTTTGTCAAATCTGCAGTGAAAGTGTTCTTAAAATGAACATGTGCTGAGTCATCATCCGAGACATGAAATAAGTGGCAGAATACGGGTAAAACAGAGCAGGAGACATGCAATTCTCCCCCAAGGAGTTCAGTCACAAATTTAATTAATGCATTTTTTTAAACAAGCATCATCAGCATGGAAGCATGTCCTCTGGAATGGTGGTTGAAGCATGAAGGGGCATACGAATGTTTAGCATATCTGGCACGTAAATAACTTGCAATGCCAGCTACAAAAGTGCCATGCGAACACCTGTTCTCACTTTCAGGTAAATAATAAACAGGAAGCATTTATCTCCTGCAAATGTAAACAAACTTGTTCGTCTGAGTGAATGGCTGAACAAGAAGTAGGACTGAGTGGACTTGTAGGCTGTAAAGTTTTACATTGTTACATAACTGCACTCAAAACAAAACAAACAAACAAAAATCTACAGTTGTAAGCTGTACTTTCATGATAAAGAGATTGCACTACAGTACTTGTATAAGGTGAATTGAAAAATACTATTTCTTTTGTTTATCATTTTTACAGTGCAAATATTTGTAATAAAAAATAATAATATAAAGGGAGCACTGTACCCTTTGCATTCTGTGTTGCAATTGAAATCAATATATTTGAAAATATAGAAAAACATCCACAAATATTTAATACATTTCAATTGGTATTCTGTTGTTTAACAGTGCGATTAAAAGTGCAATTAATCACGATTAATTTTTTTAGTTAATCGCGTGAGGTAACTGCGATTAATCGACAGCCCTAGAAACAACATATATAAAATTCTTAGATCCAAAGTATTGAGACCAATATAAAATTGGTGAAATTACTCTTCTTTCTACACAGCAAGATAGAAACACACACACACATATATGCATACACACTTTGTCTACATAGGAAGGGAGAGACCTTTCTTTGTTGCCTCAGACACACACTTACAGAGTGCCTAATACCCAGGAATTGCAAAGGACTTTACAGGTATTCATTATTAAGGCTCAGATTTTTAAAGGTATTGAGAAGTAGCTCTGCTCAGCATTGCAAACCCTAAGGGCTGGTCTACACCTAAAACTTAGGTTAACGTAGTTGTCTTGCTCAGGGGACATGAAAAATTCACACCCCTAAAGGACATAGTTAGCAGACCTAAATCCCAGTGTAAACGCCACAAGGTCAATGGAAAAATTCTTCGCTTGACTTAGCTACTGCCTCTTGTAGACGTGGATTAATTACAGCAGTGGAAAAACCCTTCCCTTCACTGTAGCAAGGGTCCACACTACAGCGATACAGAGGCACTGCAGCAGTGCCATAGTTGTGTCCCTGTAACAGTGTAGAGATAGCCTAAGGCCAGGTACACACTAAAAAAAGAGATCGACCCAGCTATCACTCAGGGGCTGTGAAAAATCCACCCCCCTGAGCAAGATATTTCAGCCAACCTCAGCCTCGGTGTGGACAGCACTAAGTTGATTGAAGAATTGTTCCATCAACCTAGCTACTGTCCCCAGGGGAGGTGGATTAACTACGCCGACAGGAGAGCTCTCTCCTGTTGGCTTAGCGCATCTTCATTAAGTTTCATTTTCAAAATTGACTTAAGCCGCCTAAGTCTCTGAAAGTGAATGGTACGCAGGGTCTAAGTACCTAAGTCACTTTTATCAATGGGATTTAACCATTTAAATCACTTAGGCCTTGCAACACTGAGGGGAGCAATGCCGAGATAACATTAAAAATCTTGTTACCCTGGTGAATTAAATCAGTATTATTATTACCATTTTACAGGTGGAAAAGTTAATGCCCAATTTATATATTATTATGATGCATGTTTTGACATATATCACCCAGCAGCTTCCTGGGTTTAGTAAGAAACTTCCCTCCTGGGCATCTTAGCCCTTGATGTTCATTACATGAGGTTTCTACCTTCCTCAGGAGGTTCTGATATTGATTACTGTCAGAGACAGGATACCAAAGTCTATAGACCACTGATCTGATGTATGACAATTCCTGTTCCTAAAGTAGTACAAAGCACAGGCAATTCAGTGGAAGGGAGAACATTTGGGAAAATTTCTTAGTGACAGCGGTAAGCAAATGGGACAAAAGTTGTCAATGCATTGTGGCAGGAATAATGGCCCATGCAATTTTGGGCTTGTTTGTACGTAGGCTTCATGTCACAAAAAACAGAGGTCATTTCAACAGGAGTATTGTTTTTGGTTCTGGACAAGGCTTTCCTTGAAAGGTGTAGATGAATTAGAGATCAAAGAAGAGCAATGGACATGCTTGGATTGACTGGAGGAAAGATGGGTCGGTTGGCTGAACAGCAGGTGCATGCAGAGTGGGGACTGATATCCATCTGCATGGTTGGATGGAAGAAAACACAAAGGCAGAAGAGATATGATTCAGTATGAATGCAGGGAGTAATCGCCTGATAGCTAGGGCCCTACCAAATTCACCGTCCATTTTGGTCAATTTCATGGTCATAGGATTTAAAAAATCATAAATGTCATGATGTCAGCTATTTAAATCTGAAATTTCACAGGGTTGTAATTGTCGAGGTCCTGACCCAAAAAGGAGTTGTTGGGGGGTTGCTAGGTTATTGTGGGGAGGTTGCGGTACTGCCACCCTTACTTCTGTGCTGCTGCTGGCGGCAGCGCTGCCTTCAGAGCTGGGCAGCTGGAAAGCAGTGTCTGCTGGCTGGGAGCCCAGCTCTGAAGGCAGAGCCGCCACCAGCAGTAGTGCAGAAGGAAGGATGGCATGGTATGGTATTGCCACCCTTACTTCTGAGCTTCTGCTGGCAGGGTGCTGCCTTCAGAGCTGGGTGCCCGGCCAGCAGCCACTGCTCTCCATCCACCCAGCTCTGAAGGCAGCGCAGAAGTAAGGGTGGCAATACTGTGACTCCCCTAAAATAACCTTGTGACCCCCCGCAACTCCCTTTTGGGTCAGGACCCCCAATCCGAGAAATGCTGGTCTCCCCTGTGAAATCTATATAGCATAGGGTAAAAGCAGACAAAAGACCTGATTTCACGGTCCGTGACACGTTTTTCATGGCCGTGAATTTGGTAGCCCATACCACTGAGCAGTGAGGTAATACCCCAAGGGCAGTGACGATAGGCCCTTTATTGGAGACACTTCATATTAGAATGAACAATAAAAGCTAATGAAAGGACTATCCCTCTCTAAGGTCTTTGTCTGACTCCTACCACCATAGGATCCAAGCGTCGCATAACAATCCTCACAACAGGGGGAGTCCATCTAGACAGGCCAAGTGATGTGCCCAAAGTCACACTGGAAGTTTGTGGTGCCGCAGGGATTTGAACTGAGGTTTCCTAATGCCGAATCTAGGGCCCTAACGGCTAGACCATCCACCCTCAACACACAGCGCCTGATCCTCATGTATTCATGTATCTGCAGTATTGTCACCCGAACTGCACCAATATGC